AAATTCATGAGATGTGGTAGGCGTGGCTGCGTGATTCAACGTGGCGGTGGCAAGCGCTTTCGTAGAGATATTTTCATTTGGACACTATTGTGTTCGTACCTCTATCCAACACAGAACAAGATGACGGTTGTCTTGAATTGAAATATCCCACTAGTAACCCATCCCATGCCATGTTCAAATGCCACGCCTATTCCGTCTCAGGGATAAGGAGTGTTTGAGTCGGCTTACTGCATTACGCCCTCAAGGGTAAGACCTCGCGTCAAAGAAATTAGGTTCTTGTAAGAACGCCGCGGACGTGGAGCTACGCCCCACCGCAGCAGCTCGAATCTCCTGACTCTGGCCTTCTTTCGATGAATATCAATTAAGGCGCGCTGTCCCAGGCTGTCTCGCTTTTATTGTTTTGTTGTACTACTTTTATTATTTCATTATTACTTTTTATGTATTTCCTTTTTCTCTTATTTTTATTAATATTTAATGACTTCAGCGACATCGGATGGTACACTGTCTGGCATAGATCGTAGGAAAGATGGGTTATGCAGTGATCGGCAGATGAAAGTCAAATTTGAGGTATGCTGATAATTAGCATGTCTGGTATATCTGTAATCGTAGAAAACCTATTCGAATATTCCGTCCAACACAATTCATCAATTTTAGGTTGAACTTCCCAAACACACCCTTCAAAAAGTAAACCCAAAATTTGCTGCCCGGACATCTCAGTAAGTTCTTCGACTCTGTAATGTTATCTATAGGGGCAGTTCAGGAGATCCAAGTCACGGCACCGTACACAAACTAGCATCCCTAGTTAGTTGACTCGGTCTCAGATCACTGAGGCCACAGCAACCTAACTCCCTTAGCGCTTATTTCACGGCTTTCAGAAAAAACCGCTTGTCAATGAACTCTTCCTTCCGTTTTGAGTTTTGAGTCAATCACTGTTGCATCAGCTCTACTTCTCAAGGGCTTGATCATAGTTCGCCACTTGGCGCCAGTCGATCACACTGGGCCTTCTCGCGGCGAGGCGGTGCGGAATAGGGCGGTGCGGCGTGGGGCGGGGCTGCGAGCGGACCTAACGACACACTTGGCGAAAAAACCGGCAAAGAGGGTCCCTTTGGACGAGTTTTCTCGCCGGGCGGACCTAACGACACACCCGGACGGAGATGCAGCAAAAATGCCGTGAAATGGCTCAAATCGGCGAAGTTGTCGAAAAGAGCCACTTCGGATGAAAATTATAAGATTCGGATGAATGAAAAGAGCCACTTCGGATGAAAATTATAGGGTTAGGCCTTACGGCCTTGTTAGGTGTCTTAGTACGTCGGATTACAGTAGTCGCAATTTTGCACAAGGGCTTTTTGGGCTTCAGGCTTCCTTAGCTCCGCGTCGTTTCCTCGACTTTTTTCTGTGCTGGACAGCATTTATTGCTGTAGGATGTGAAAAAAGGCGGCGAGCCAGAGGATGAGGAACTTTGTCTAAGCTTGAGAGGAAAAAACTCCGAGCTTGATGGATTTCTCAACTTCCTTCCAGTTCTCTTAGCGGCACGTCACCGTGGAGGAAATCGGGAGTAGTATTTGGGTGGGTCGTATTCAATGTTAAGTGGAGAAAAAATAGTTCTTTCTTTGGACTTTCTTTCTTCCTGTTCAAGAGTGAAACACCCCACCTTTCCGCTCTATCATCCCCTGCCTCCGCTGCAGTAGGCACATTGGGTCAAAAAAAAAAACACGGAAGCTGTTAGGAAGCTGGGAAAATTTGAGGAGCAGATAGGAGGATGGACGATGGGGAAGGGGAGCCGTACCAGTGGAGGAAACCCTTAGTAAGACTCCCCTTTCCCCACGCGCCCTCCTACCATCTACCTGAGTTGGGAGATGTAGTTTGCAAATTTTCCCCGATAGGACGTGCCCCGAGCCCAACAGCCCCTCGCTTTTGCCTTCCGTAGCTGATGCCGAAACTCGGACCTTCTAAACTCCACCCTTACCAACAATAATCCTTCCTCAGCCTCCCTTTCAGCAGAGAAGTTACGGCAGAAACGTCCACTCCAATTATGTACATAATTCATGTAGATGGTGAAGATTCCGAGGAGCTAGACGGTCAGTTCTTCAGAAAATTGTGGGACCCGGAAATTTTCAAGAAAACAATGGATCATTTCAGATGACCACGCCACGACAGCATTCTCATCAGCGTTGCCTATTCTTCTATCGCTGTGCCTATTCTACCTCATCTAAGCGATTCATTATCGTGCCCAGCATTCCACACCTCAATAAGGGAGCAGCAGCCTGGATGCTAGCTGTTCCACGAGGCATCCGAGTGATTTGACCGCTGGTCACGGCATAACCTATCAGCAGCCAACTAACTGTCAGTCTAGCATAATTACGGGTTCATTTCTTCTCGATGTGTAGCAAAAAGATTCATTTATAGGCGCTGATGTAGCACAGGTACGCCATCCGAAATTTGTTAGGAGAAAGGTGACGTGTCATTGACGTCACAGTAAACCCTCTACGTCACACTAATCTTTAGACGCCATCGATAATGACTCACTAAAGGCACGGTACAGTATCGCGGAAGAAACCCATTACGGGGGTAGTACCATCTAGCCTTCTGGCCTTACCCGAAATTTTCCCCAAGCACAGAAAAGATTTTTTTCCGGGTGTTGACTCTTCTCCGTTCTTGTTAGCTGTATACCCACCCCCCCCCCTTCTAGCCCTTCTAAATTGTCGACGCCGAAGAGCTACCACGCAATTACTGTTCTGAGAATGATAGGTAAAATCAGTAGTTGACTGGATGCAAGCCCTCTCCGCGCTCGACGCCATGCTTCGGGAGGAAAATTGAATTTTTCCGAAAATCGGCAAAAGTGCTAAGAAAGTAGGTAGGATGAGTAAGGAGGGGCCTATCCGAGGACGAAATTTGGGGTGGGGGTGGTGAAGGTCGACGCCATTTCACACGTCGCGACGCGACGCACTCTGATTACATGTTTCCACTGATTAACGTTCTTTGTGACACGTCATCCCCCCCCCCCCCGACAGCGTTTAGACTTCGCGATGACGCGCGTCCGACGCGCTGTAAAGCTAGGCACAGGCCGCCGAAGCGACCAACGCCGATCGATTCCCGTCTGCGGCCGTGTTTGTACCTATAGCAACTGAACGCTCTTGTAGTGGCGGCGCGTTGACGTGCGTCATCTCAAAGTCTGAACGCTGCCTAACTCTCGATGGAAAACTGACCTGTGCTACACCTGTGCTCATTTATATACGTATATGCTCTGTGCGATTTCCTCATCTTCACTTTGTGCATCCTACTGTGATTACGTAGCTTGGAGATAAACACTGAACAAAAGGTCAGAGAGCGCTTCTTGTCTCAAAACACCATATAATAAAAGGCTCAACACAAATAAATGGG